TGGCTGAGGGAGCCAGTCATTGGAGGCAGCTCTCCTGAGTGGCATATTTTCCACCCATACACTAACGGGGCGCGTTTTAGAATTTTGGCAGCGACTACTCTTTTATATAAGGGAGAGATTCTTAACTGTATTGCTCTGTTTTTATCTAATTCTGTTTTAATTGTTTTATATTTTATGTGAGCCGCCCTGAGCCTGCCATGACAGGGCGGGCAGGATATAAATTAAATAAAATAAAAAAATATAACACAGAAAGTGAAGTACTCTCTGTTTCAAGAGTACTCCATCCTTCTGTGTTATACCTCTGAGGATGCCAGTCACAGCTGCTGGCGAAACAGCAGGTCCTACAATGCCAAGACCATGGCCACACAGCCCCGAAAATCTACAACAACTAAAGTTTATATGATTGTTTTAAACCGTCTGGATATTTTCTGCTATTGTTACGCACCCTGAGCCCGCTTGCGGGAAGGGTGGGATATACATTGAATAAAATTGGCTGCGGTCACACGGAGCATTAGGCACGCTAGAGAGATGGAAGATAGGTGGATTTTCAGGTGGATTTTCCGGGCGCGATCTCACCGCCACATCTGGGAAGCGTAGAGCTCCCTTGGCGAACCCGAGGCTTCCCGCAGAAGATGCGTGGTTAAAAACTAGTACCTCGGAGGTACTAGTTTCCGGTAACCACGGGGCCAGGGCGGGCGTTTGATCGCGTTTCCCACCCATGCCCCCTCGTATAAAGTTTCCCCCCCCCCAACTGTCCATGGGATGTGCACGAGCACCCAACGGGGCATGCGCACACTTTGGTGTCCGGAGAAAAAAACACCCGTTTGCTGCGCCATGCTGCTTCTTTGCCGCGGCGCAGGATTGTGGTGTGCTTGGCACCTCCCCCCTACCACGGGACCTCCATGGGACCTCCACGGTACGTCTGCTGGCGCAACCGCACGTTATTTTGCCCCAGGGCAAACAGCCACGCTCCCCCCCGCATTTTCCTGCCCGTGTGACCGCGGCCATAAATAAATATCTGAGATGCCAAGGGGCTGGTTTGAACTTCTAAAATCTCAGACTACAGGACCAGAGACCAACCAGTATGTTTTATCATATGTGGTGGACATGTGATATAGTGCGTAAGTTTTGGATTATGGTACATACTCTGATACAGACAGTTTTGCAGATTTCAGTACCTTTTCAACCAGAATTGTTCTTATTAAGTTGTATACCAGAGAATTTTGACACATATCAAAGATATTTTATAATCCCTATAGTAACTGCAGCGAGAATTGTATTGGCAACTTATTGGAAACTTCCATCAGCACTTTCAGAACATGATTTAATAGCAAAGATTATGGAAAGTGTGGAAATGGATAAATTGACCTGGATGCTAAAAGGGCAAATGGAAGAAGACTTTGTTGGACTATAGACTCCATTCTATAATTGGATTAGAGAGAAATATAAAGATACGAACTTTTAAATAATATAACAGTAAGAGGACTTTATGAACTTTTAAATCTCACAGTTCATCTGTGTATAACATGAAATTACAAGTAGAGGAAAGTTACATGCAGGAAACGATTGCTTTTACCCTTTTCCCTACCCTTCCCCCTTTCTTACCCCTCTGTATTTTAAAAACTTAATAAAATTTTAATTTTTTTTTAAAAGGACCAGAGACCAATCAAAGTCTGTAGTAGGAATACCTAGATTTGAGTCAAGAAACACCTTAGAGACCAATAAGATTTTTGGAGTATAAGCTTTTGAGTCAAAGCTCCCTTTGTCTGATGAAGGCTATCTCAGCCTTGACTCTTGAAGGTTCACACCCTGAAAATCTTGTTGTTCTCTAAGGTTGCGGTCACACGCACCAGATAAAACGGGGGGAAGCGAGGCTATTTCCTCCAGAGGAATTTGGCCCTCAGTTGCACGATCACACTTCCCTTTGAAGCTGCGGGCGCAGTTTGTCAGTGTGTGATCAGACGCAACTGCGGGTGAGTTGGGTTTTTTTTGGTGCCGTCTCCCCCCCATGCGCTTAACCGAGGGATCAATGAATCACACCTCCGCATTAACGTCTCCCTACAGAGTTTGTGATGATGCACATACGGCGAAGCAGGAAAAAAACAACAGCACGGAGTTGGGATGGCCAGATCATCCCGACGCCATGAGAGCGCGCTGGAGTGATCAGACATGGGAAAGTCCATCCGTGGCCTTTCGCAACACTTACTACCGGATTTTCCCCAGTGTCTTTTAACTCCGCTTCTGCGGCGGAGCAGAACGGGTTGCCGACGGCTGCAAGGCGCTTCCCAGATGTTGTTGTCTGATTGCGCCCTTTAAATTCACCCGGCATTCGCACCTGTGTCAGGTCTAATTGTGCGTATGATCACAGACTAAGGGGCCCTGGATTCCAATCTACCTGTTCTACTGCAGACCAACACAGCTAGTCACTGAAACAGTCCTAAAAACGTTTTTATTCTCTCCGGATTGTCATGAATTTATCTGTGACCGGTTCTCTCCCTTGTTCGGAGGAGTCCTCTTAAACACTCGACCTTCTTGCCTTAAACACTCGACCTTCTAAACGCAGCTTGCTGTTAACAGCTACTTTTCGCCCGATCATTTTAATGGTTTTTGTTTGTTTACGGCAGTTGCCTGATCCCTTCTCTTGTTCGCTGCCTCTTCACCCCCTGGTGATGAGACAGCTTCTAAGTGGCTGAAATAAATAAGTAAATAATAACGCGCCTTCCGATGTTTTTCAAAATTTACATGAAACCGAGCTTTTTGTGTGCACAGGCCAAATTTCCTCACGGGAACAATGAAGGGGAAGAGAGTGTCTTTCTCGGGAAAATATTTGTTATCGTTAAACCTGTTCCCTGCTGCAGCTTGCTTTCCAAATTGACGGGGACCCCAAGTTTCCCCCCCTTATGTAGGACAAGGGAAAAAGAATGTGATTTCTGACACTCTCCTTGATGTATATTGACAACTGTCACTGTGCCTTCAAATGTTTAATCATCATTTTGGAGATGGGAGTAAGCAGTGAAGTGGCTAAATTTGCGGATGATACAAAGTTGTTCAGGGTGGTGAAAACCAGTGAGGATTGTGAGGCACTCCAAGGGGATCTGTCAAGGATGGGCGAGTGGGCGTCAACATGGCAAATGGGGTTCAATGTGGCCAAGTGCAAGGTGATGCACATTGGAGCCAAAAATCCTAAATATAAATACACATTGATGGGGTCTGAACTGGCAGAGACTGAGCAAGAGAGGGATCTTGGAGTTGTAGTGGATAACTCACTGAAAATGTCGAGACAGTGTGTGACTGCAATAAAGAAGGCCAATGCTATGCTGGGGATTATTAGGAAGGGTATTGAAAACAGATCAGCCAATATAATAATGCCCCTATATAAATCAATGGTGAGACCTCATTTGGAATACTGTGTGCAGTTCTGGGCACCACACCTTAAAAAGGATATTATAGCTTTGGAAAAAGTGCAGAAAAGGGCAACTCGAATGATAAAAGGGTTGGAACACTTTCCCTATGAGGAAAGGTTAAAGCGCTTAGGGCTCTTTAGCTTGGAGAAAAGACGACTGAGGGGTGACATGATCGAGGTTTATAAGATTATGCATGGGAAAGAGCAGGTAGAGAAAGAGGTACTTTTCTCCCTTTCTCACAATACAAGAACTCGTGGGCACTCCATGAAACTGCAGAGCGGTCGGGTTAGACCTTTCAGTGACACACTTGTTCCTCCTGGAACATCCGAGCTGTTTTCCCAAAGGGGACCCGTAGCCCACGAAAGAGATGGCAACCTTTCAGCATCTTGATGGTTATCGATCAGCGCTGGCGAAAGGGAAGGCCTACCGGCAATGAGGCCGGCCAAGAGCTTTCGGAGAGAGGTGCCCCTGGAGTCGTCAATGAAAGAGGCGCTCCGAAAAGAAGGGTCCCGGGTGGCCCGTCTGAGGGACGCTGCGTGCTGGGCCCTGTAGCTGCCAACACCCAGGTGGGCCGACAAAACTGAGGGGTTACAGCTAGTGTAGAAAGCCAAAAATATAGAAGCTGTAATGATGTTCAAAACGCTTATAATCTCACAATAATGATACAAAAATAAGCAGTCAAATTGAAAAATATTAATTCCCAACAGGTTTCAAAAGACGAACGTCTCCAGAGTTTTGGCATTCGTTTCGTGAAGAACTTCTTCAAAACATCAAGATGTGATAGTGTTGCTTCTTATTCCATAATGTGTAAATCCAATACAAAGGTACTAATATCCTATACGTTGAACATGTTCTTACATAACAAATCCTTCCATCAACGGGCACACAAAGTGTACTAGCAGAAGAACTCCGGAGAAGTTCGTCTTCTGATACCTGTTGGGAATTAATATCTTTCAATAATCATTATTGTGAGATTATAAGCGTTTTGTACATCATTACAGCTTCTATATTTTTGGTTCATATATTTTATATCTGCATTTCTGTGTATAAGAAGCCTCTGTAGAAGGAATTAGGATGCAATAAGAATGGAATGCTATTTAGAAGTTGCAAAGCCGCCGAGAGCGAAGTTTAATGTGATTCACAGCCCTTATCAGCTAGCTCTCCACATGCGAGCCCAGGAAGGACCCAGTGTTCTCAAATGTTCCCAGTGTTCTGAAGACAAGGTAAACAAGTGTAATTACAGACACCACTGAGAGAGATGCACTGAGTCAAATTATGATTGTATGCTGTTAACTGCTTGGTACCAGTTAGAGATTCTTCCATGTGTAAATTATATGTGATGTCATTTGGGGTATAAGACCGTCCGCCCTTCCTGGTTATGGCAGAATACAGTTTTGGAATTGCTGAGTGCAAGGGCGCTCAGCCCTGTATTCCCTGTCCCAATGCATTAAACAGATATTCATCTAACTCGTTGGATTCCGACTGTGTGTTTCCAATTCGGCACGGGAGCACGCAGGCACAGATTTGTGTATCACTTATGAGGAGGAGAGCAGCGGGCCCCAATCCGACCCCGTTGTGGCGAAGAGCACCGAGTACCTTAAAGGCCTCAAAGTGCGCAGGAGTCTGAGGACACGAAGGATACCCAGGATCTTAGCTCCGCCCGCAGACGCCATGGAAACGATGATGTCGATGATGGAGACGAAGACTAGGATGCCATCCAGCACGTTCCAGCTGCTCTGGAGGTAGGTGTGTTTCCCGGAGAAAAAACCCAGAGCTATGACCTAAAGACAGGGGGAGAGGACAATGTTAGTGCAGGCGCCAAGCCTTCCCCGTGGTTCTATGAAGTTACACATCAGATGGAATTTGGTGGTGGTCTGACGCCCAAATAGGTCACTCAGTGAGCTTGCCACATGAAGTTGGGAATCAGACCTTTGGCCCATCAAGGTCATTCTTGCCTACTCTGACTGCAAAGGATCTCTAGGGTCTCAGGAAGAGGGCTTTCTTGTTACCTAATCCTTGTTACCTAATCCTTCTAATGGGAGATGCTGGGGACTGAACCTGGGACCTTCTGCGTCTCAAGCAGAGGCTCTACCACTGAGCCACAGCCCCTCTTCACAGCTCTCCAGGGTCTCAGGCAGAGGTCTTTCCCATCACCTCCTGCCTGGTCCCTTTGAACTGGAGATGCCGGGGATTGAACCAGGGACCTTCTGCATGCCAAGCAGATGCTCTACCACTGAGCCATGGCCCCTCTTTACAGCTCTCCAGGGTCTCAGGCAGAGGTCTTTCCCATCACCTCCTGCCTGGTCCTTTTTAACTGGAGATGCCGGGGACTGAACCTGGGACCTTTACATGCCAAGCAGAGGCTCTGCCACTGAGCCACAGCCCCTCTTTACAGTTCTCCAGGGTCTCAGGCGGAGGTCTTTCCCATCACCTCCTGCCTGGTCCTTGTTAACTGGAGATGCTGGGGATTGAACCTGGGACCTTCTGCGTGCCAAGCAGAGGCTCTGCCACTGAACCACAGACTCTCCTCCACAAACAAAACAGGGAGATCCATTCATGGGGCTTCCAGATGTCATGCCAAGCTCGATGTGGTTGAATCCTGGACTGTTCTGTGTTAGATCATAGCCTTGGTTTTAAAAAATATTGTCCAGGTTTGTTTTGTTTTTTAAAAAAGAGTACCCCAGTCAAATGTAGAAAACCAGCACATTCTATGTAATGGAAAGGTTGATTTTTACTGCATATTAAAGCAGTTTGTGGAAGATCAAGTGGGACTATGACACCTGGCGATTTGTATGTTATGCCTCTGTTGATACACCCCAAGATGTCAATCAGCCCCTTCATCTGATTTCTCATAGGGAAGAGAGAGACAGAAGGTCATACGTCTTGCTTACCTTAACCATCATCTCGATAACAAAGATGGCTGTGAAGATGTAGTTGGAGACGCTCAGGAAGACCCGTTCCTGCAAGAGAGAGAGAGCAGGTGGCTACCTTGAAATGGGCAAGTAGGGGCATGTGAGTGTCTGAAGCCGCTCTTGTGCCAAGACAGGTAGCCGTGTTAGTCTGTCTGTAACAGCAGAAAAGAGCAAGATGTGAGCCGTGACTCACAAAAGCTCCTCCCCTGCCACAAATTTTGTTAGTCTTTAAGGGGCCGCGGTGGCTCAAGAGGTGGAGACGCTGAGCTGCAGACTGGAAGGTCGGTAGTTCAGCAGTTCGAGACCTGAGTGCCGCATGACGGAGTGAGCTCCCGTCTCTGGCCCCAGCTCCTGCCAGCGTAGCAGTTCGAAAGCAACAAATTGCAAGAGAATAAATAGGTACCGCTTTGGTGGGAAGGGAACAGCGTTCCGTGCGCCTTGGCATCTAGCCACGCCGGCCACATGACCACGGAAACGTCTTCGGACAGTGCTGGCTCTTTGCCTTGGAAACGATGAGCATTGCCCCCCAGAGTCAGATGAAACTAGCTTTCGAGCAAGGGAGACCTTTACCTTAAGGTGCTACTGGACTCTTGCTCTTTCCTACAAAATCCTGGCTACGGGCCTGTCATGGTCTGGGCTGTGCCACCAGAGGCCTACTAGGCCCAGGGAGCCTGGCTAGCAGTAGGTGAGGCTGGGCCTACAACTCCCAGAAGCCCCTGAGAGGTTTTGGAGCCAAAATCGACCAATAGGGAAGAAGAGGACTGGGGAACAAAAGGGCTGGTGCCAGAGCAGAAGCTGTTCTTTCTTCCAGAGGGCAGAGCCAGAAGGAAGGCGGCTGCAGGAAGAAACCCTCATCCTGAGGGAAGGGGGAGTAGTCTAGTGCCACTTGGAATAGTGAGCTAGGGACAGTATATATTTAGATGCGTTACGGCATTTGATTTCTTTTCTTTTCACCCACTTACTGTTATAATTCTGCACCTTGTTGTTTGATGACTTCCTATACAATAAACTATTATTATTGTTCACTCTGCCTGGTCCTCACACCTATTATTCAGTCAAAAGGGAGGTCTAAAGGTCTTGGGAGGGTGCTCTGGGCCTTCTCAAGGGAACCTAAATCCAGAGTGGTGGCAGCATCAGGTGACACCCCACCCGAGCCATGACAGAGCCTGAATAAATTTCTCCTCTGGAGCTACCAATTATTGTGATAGTCTATTAGGGCAGAGAGCATCTCCACGTGCTGCAGACCCACAGGATATGAGAGGCTGGTGCGGGAAAGGATCAGATCCCCTCTCCCCATAATGCCACTGCTCCGACCCAATTCCCCCACATTCCGTGGCTGACTTTTATACCAAATTAAAAGCAACGGGTCAGCCAATCAATTCTCAGCCTGTTTGGCCGTCAGCCCCGTCTTTGCACCCGATGTCTCCCAGCAAGGGGTCCATTTTTGGGCTCCACGGGGCTCACCGTACTGTTGGGATCGATATCCGGCCTCTCCAATGCGATGGTGATGCAGTTCAGGAAGATGAAAACCAGAACCACGTGGTCAAACATCTTGTGAGCGATAACCTTCTGGCACGTGGCCCGAAGCCTGGAATTGAAGATGGAAGGAGGAGGGGGCAGTTAAAGCTCTGCCGTTGGGCCTGGAAGCCTTGGGGTGCAGTTGGGTCATTTTTTGGCGTGAAACACCTTAGACAGACATTGGGCAGGTGCATGCCGCAACCAAAAATGCTGAGAAGCCTCCAAGTGACTGCAGCAGCTGCAGTTTGCAGTGACAGCCACAGGCACCCGTGGAGAGACAGGTTTCTTGGCCTCTTGGCCAGGGCTATCACTTAATTGCACACCACCAACATCATGTCAGATCTTGGAAGCAAAGCATGGTCGGTCTTGGCTAGTACTTGGAAAGGTGACCGCCAAGGAATACCATGGGCTTGACGCAGAGGCAGGCAATGTCAAACCGCCTCTGAAACATCTCTTGCCTTCAAAACCAGTCTATCTAGCCACCTAGGGGTGCATAAAGCTAAAAGAGCTAGAACTTCTGGCTGCCAGACAATCTTAGGATCTCCTGGTTGTACTATAGACAATGCCGTATGATAATTAATTTAATTAATTAACACCAACAGGATGCCACCTAAAAGTGGAGAGGAACAAGGGAAGAAGAGAAGAGAAGGAGAGACTCAAAGGAGTCTCAGAGTGGCTTACAATCTCCTTTATCTTCCCCTCCCCACAACAGACACCCTGTGAAATCGGTGGCACTGAGAGAGCTCTTTTGAGGACTGCTCCTGAGAGAAGAGCTCTGAAAGAACTTGTGACTGACCCAAAGTCACACCAGCAGTTGCATGTGGAGGAGCAGGGAATCAAACCTGGTTCTCCCAGATTAGCGTCTGCGCTCCTCACCACTACACCAAACTGGACACATGTTTCAAAAGCAGGGGAAGACTGCTGCATTCACCGTTTGCTCTCTCAAGGTCGTAGAGATCCATGGAAGAGGGAGAGATCCCCAAACCCTTTGGCTTGTCTTTGCTGCAGACTCGAACTCAGGTAGAATTCATCAGAAGGCTTCTGAGCAATCGGGGCTACTTCTTTGCTGTGGCAGGCTGATCCTTGAACTTACTGGGAAAGCTCCCAATGGGCCACTGCTTTGGAGAGCTACTAGTATAGAGGAGCAAGCCACATGGAGGCCCAGCACCCCTGGACAGAGTTATAGGAACTGTTCAAATTGAACATGGCTAGTGAATGAGGCTTGCAAGGCCTCCCAGTTTGGGCAGGGGATGCCCTGCCCCCAGGTCTGATTGCCTGGCGCGCCTTGCACGTCATTTTTTGGGAAAACCTGGAAGTGACAGAAGGTAGCTCTAGGAATCCCCAGAAACTCTATGGCACTACCATCGAGTTTCCGGGGGTTGCTAGAGCTACCCTCCATCACTCCTTGGTTTTCCCTGGAAATGATATAACGGCACATGTGCAGTCGCGCCCCTCTGTGTCTCTGTCTGCAACTCTCCTGCCTGGGAACATTATAGTGAGGACGCCTGGATGTGAGCTGAGGGGCCCCTGGAGTGCAGCCAACCCTGCAGGATGTTCTGAGTAGCGTATCACAAAAGGAGCCCCATATGCCCTCCCCCATGAATAGAAGAAGAAGAAGAGATTAGATTCCCCCCCGCCCTTCGCTACCCGAAGGTGTCTCAGACCGGCTTACAATCTCCTTTCCCTTCCCCTCCCCATAACAGGCACCCTGTGAGGTAGGCAGGGCTGAGAGAGCTCTCTCGAGAACTGCCCTTGAGAGAACAGCTCTGAATGAGCCTGTGGCTGACCCACGGTCACACCAGCAGCTGCATGTGGAGGAGTGAGGAATCTCCCAGATTAGAGTCCGTGCTCCTAACCACTACACCAAACGTGGTCACATTCTGCTTCTAGAGAGAGGGAGGAACGTGGAGGAGATACAGGCCACAAGTAGAAATTTAACAGGCGCCATTTTCCAGATGACTTTCGGTGACCCCAGCATGGGGGCTTTCAAGGCAGGTGAGAAGCAGAGGTGGTTGGCCATTTGCCTTCCTCTGCAGAGCCTTCCTTGGTGGGCTCCCACCCAAGTACCGACCCCGCTGAGCTTCCAAGATCTGATGAGATCGGGCTATACCATGCCGTCCTCCCTCCGAACTTTCTGGAACTGCATCTCTAAACTTACCCTGTTGAATTTCTGTCTCCCCCCCCCCCCGCTGTCCAAAGCAAACTTCTCCCCTCAGCTTTGACAAGACAAGTCAAGAGACAAAGGCTTCCCGTGATCATTCTTTAGTCAGAAGAACGGGTCTCGCACTTTAAGATGGAGGCAAACACTAAAAACGGGGTGTAACCTTGGCGATCTCATGCAATTAACTCCAAACAGTCTCCCTTGGGTGCAAACCTTACTCAGATCAGCTCCCACATATTTTAGTATCTGCCAGTGGACAAAATGAGGGGTCATGAGCAATGCTCCCCCTCTAAGCTGTGGAGTCTTGTGAGCAAAACCTCTACTTTGTGAGCTCCTGGCATTAAAGGTGTGAGTGAGCGATTTGGCTACCGCCTAAATTAGTTTGCTCTGGAGCCCTCCTTCCTGAGCTAAGACAAAAATGTGTGAGCCAGAGGCTAAAAAACTGTGAGCTACCTCACACTAACTCAGCTTAGAGGGAACACTGGTCATGAGGAACATGGAGGGGTGGACTGGAAACCTCAGTCCACCCCCCAAAAATCTCCCACTCATGTCTTCTCTGAGCTGTTAGGAGGTTGGAGAAATTAATTCCTATTCCTCCTCTTTTTCCCTTTAACCAACACCCAACCGCTCTCAACATTCCCTGCTCCTGCAGCCTGTTTAGTCCTCATCAGGATTTTTTTTGGATGTGTGTGTGTGGAAGGTTAATTTTTTTCTTCCTGTTAAATCACAAAGCCATGTTTTCCTGCATATCTGGGATGTCTCCTGAGTCGGGAGAGACCTCTTCTCCTGCCTTGGAGTAACTGCACTGTGTCAATTTTGTGAATGGTACAGGAGCCAAACACTGCTTTGGAAGGTGAACTGCATACCTGAGGGAGTGCCTTTCCCCATATGTACCCCAGAGAATGCTGCGATTGGGAACCCAGAATCGGTTGGCTCTCCCGAGCTTCAAGGAGGCCAGATTGGTGGTAACTGAGGCCCGTAGCCACAGTGGGGCATTTCGGGGCAACGCCCCCTCACTCACTGGCAAGGCCCCACAACTTCCCATCTAGCCTGAGGGCCCTGAGCGATGGCAGGTGTGGGGAAGGAGCCAGGTATTCCTTTAATTCAATCAGCCAGTGCCCCCTAAGACATTTTAATGCCCCCCGATTTAAAAAATCCTGGCTACGGGCCTGTGGTAACTAGGGCCAGGGCTTTTTCGGTGGCGGCTCCACTCTGGTGGAATGAGCTCCCAGAGGAGACCAGGGCCCTGCAGGACTTCTCACAGTTCCGCAGGGCCTGTAAAATGGAGCTCTTCCGCCAGGATTTGGAGCCGCCACCACTAACACCACTAATACCTCTACCGCCAACAATTGATATCTATGTTGGCGGAACCCTGACCCCCGCTGGTCCCCTAAATATTGCCCGGGCCAATCACTCGAGACAGTTGAAGAAGACCAAAGAGCTGGCCATTAAATGAGGAATGTGGCTAGCACTTTATTATGTTTGAGTTTTAATATTGTATTTATTAATTTATGTGATTTTATGTAATTGTATCATTGGGATCTTACTCTGTAAGCCGCCCTGTGCTGGCCCAGGCCGGGAGGGCGGGATAAAAATCAAATACATACATAAATAAATAAATAAACTCAACGGCATTACGCCCTGCTGAGGGCCCTCCGCTCCCCAAACCCTGCTCCTCCAGGGGTGCGTAGCTTTTTATTGAGAAGTGTCCCGAGTACAGGGCTTGGCAAATCCCCCCGGGGGGCGGGGAAAACCCCGCTCCAGAGGCCCATTCCCCACCGCCGGTGGATCGGGCCCCGGGGGGAACCCCACCCCAACGTGTACATCACACGGAACTGACGCGACCACGCCGGGCACGCTGGGGGCAGGGCCACGGTCATCCGAGGAAAAACTCTATAGTTTTTCCTCGGATGGTCATGGCCCCGCCCCCCAACGTGCCCGGCGTGGTCGCGTCACTTCTGAGTGATGAGGATGCGGGCGCGCGTGCTCCAGCCGCCAGCCGGGAGCCCCCCGCTGCGGTGAAGATCGCACTTGGCAACCCTAGTGTGCTGTAATCCAGGAGTAAGCGGGATGAGACTTGTGCATCCTCAACCAGAAGGTCTTACCGATTCTGCGGTGAAAACAGGTAGAGCGACCAATCTTCATGCGTCCGGCACCACTCGGGTTTCAAGGGCTCCAAAACCTTCCGAATCCGGTAGCAGTAACTCTGGATGGGAGACATGACTGTATTGGATTATCGCCTTTGGCAACAGGTCACTCCTAGCCCATCTGACAGCCACATTCTTCCCACACCAATCTGGAGCCCCAAAAGGTCCCTAACGTTGATCCAGTTTCATTCATCCCATATGACGCTTTTGCTGGCAGAGGCTGTTTTGACATACTGGGCGGCAGGCAGAGCTAAGCAGAGGTCCCTGGTTCAACTCTTGCCTCTGCCACCAACTCAGCAACTCGCCTTAGATGAGTCAGTCTCTCAGTCTCAGACCCTCCCTCCACAATGGGGGGGATAATAATAGTGGGCCCCACCACAGGGTTGTTGTGAGGGCCACAATAAGGAAACTAACTTCCATTCGAGTGCTTTAAACAGGAGGAGAAGAAGAAAATATTGGATTTATATCCCACCCTTCACTACCCGAAGGAGTCTCAGGGTGCGTTCAGACGGGGCGTTTCTGTCGGCATAAACTGCACCGGTTGGAACCGGTGCAGTTTATGCCGGCAGAAACGCGATCACACTCACCTCCATCTTCCAGATCCCTCCGATGGACGCCCGCTCACACGCTGCAGGTGCTGGCTTTTTTTTTTAAAAAAAAAGCACAGTTTGAGCATGCGCATAGGCAGCCATTCACAGAATGGCGATTTTTGCGCATGCTCAACCCCCCCCCATTACATTTAAACTTTAAAGGTAAGGACTTACCTTTAAAGTTTAAAGCCCAACCTGGCCTCCCTGTAGTCCCGGACTCCTCTGGGAAGTTAAACTAAGGGCCTTTTTCTCCTTCTTACCAAACGCTCGGGGCGAAGCTTCGCCCGAGCGCATATCGCTTATTTTTTTTTAAAAATGGCGGGGGAAAGCCGGAAGCCTCAGGCTTCCGCCGGAAGTGTCTCTGCAACGTTGGAGAGCGATCAGATGCCGGGGTGCACTGTTTACAACCGTTGCACTCAGTTTACCACCACTTGGGACCTAGTGGCAGAGTGCAACGGTGTAAAGGGCTTTACACCGGTTAGGGACAGGAGGCAGATGTTCGTCGTGTGAACGCCAGTGAGTACACCGGTTGCAACCAGAACCCTAACCGATGTAAAGCCCCCGTCTGAACGCACCCTCAGAGCGGCTTACAATCTCCTTTCGCTCCCGCTCCCCGCAACAGACACCCTGTGAGCAATGCTCCCTCTAAACTGTGGAGTCTTGTGAGCAAAAATTCTACTTCGTGAGCTGCTGGCATTAAAGTTGTGAGTGAGTGGTTTGGCTACTGCATAAATTAGTTTGCTCTGGAGCCCTCCTTCCTGAGCGAAGACAGAAATGTGTGAGCCGGAGGCTAAGAAACTGAGCTAGCTCACACTGACTCAGCTTAGAGGGAACACTGCCTGTGAGGTAGGTGGGGCTGAGAGAGATATTTTGAGAACTGCCCTTGAGAGAGAACAGCTCTGAGAAAACTTTTGACTGACCCAAGGTCAAAGCAGCTCAAACCCGGTCCTCCCAGATTAGAGTCTGCACTCCTAACCACCACACCAAACAGGGCAAGTGTTGCTGAGATTGAGAGTCAAAGTCTCCTCTGCTACTGTGGGGCGGGGAATGAACCAGGAGCCCCACAGATTCGGAATAGCTTCCTTGTTCTGCCAGGGTGTCAGGGAAGGGGAGACAAGTGCAGGCAACTCTTGAAGCTCCATTTGCTGAACTGCATCGAATCTTTGAGAAAAATGCACTTACATCAGAGACCGCAAGCTGAAAGACAGCAGCTCAGGGCAAAATATACTTACATCCTCCAGGTCGTCGTCGTAATCCAGGGGATCGTCCTTGTGGCCGTCCATGTGCAGGTAGAACTCGCTGGGCACATGCACCATCTTGCCGTTGCAGTCCTGGTACTCGGCGGGCACCATGGCCACCGGGCTGACGCTCAAGGAATGGCGCATGCCAGGCACCTGGAGCAGCTCCGGCAGGTCCAGGGCCCCTCGGCAATCCAGCGACTCCGCCCGGCGGTGCACAGGGGGGCGGCTGACGGCGCTGAGTTTGGTGTCCTCCGATTCATCATCAGTGCTCCCTTTCCCTTCGCCGGAGAGCAAGGACTCCCGCTCCCCACACTGGCTCTTCTTCTTGAGGCTCGGGGCCCGCCCCAAACTGTTCCAGCTGGAGCGGCGGCTGCCCCAGTTGCTGCCGGCACCCCAGTTTGCACAGGGAGTACTGCGGAGGCTGGACTGAGAAAGGGGAAAAGCAGGTCAGAGCTGCTGGGGGTCTCCAAAAAAATCCCAACTCCGTTTAGACCATCTTTGTTTAGTCTGCCTTTCTCCAAGGCTGTGGTCACACGGCAAGCGTACCGCGATTTGTTCCCGCTATAGATTTGATTGGGGATATTTTTAAGCGGATTCAGATGATCACACATCCCTTGTGCAACTGCTTGCTTTGCACAACAATGCTCCAGGCACTGTCCAGAAAGCCACAACGCCCAAGTGGTGGCGTGGCACATTAAAAAAAAACCTCTGCGCATGCACATATGCGCATATGCACATGTGCATGCATGCACACAATGGTGAAAGTCGCAAAAAAACACAACCTACTGGAAGAAGGATGTTCAGACGACCTAATCGCAATCATTGCGAGAGATGGCTTTCCAGATCAGCAAAATCGTGGATTCAAAGTGCAAATACCCGGCAAGTATTTCATTTTCACGGTGTTGGAAAACTCGCTAGGGAACCGGGAGGATTGTGCGAGTGAGCCCACTTTGGTGCGGGAGACGGATGTAGGCGTCTGATTGGCAATTTTAAATGTGAGAGGGAACAGCTGTGAAACCCGGTCAAAATGTCCGTGTGACCACAGCCCAAAACTGAACTCCAGGAGGGTTACAATAACAATGCAAACAGTATACAATTAAAACCCCGTAAAAACTAACATGCGCAAATGAAAATTAGGCAAAGGGGATTATCAGAAGTCCTTCTGAATAATCCCACCCTGTGGGTTTATTTTTTATCTTGTTATTTTATCTGACGAAATTTGGACCCCACCTCTCTGCCCCCATGGGGGCCACCAAGACGGCTAACCAATTAAAACATACATGATAAAACCACATTTTAACTTGTGAAGACTCAAAGCAGACGCCTTGCTAGCAACTTCAGGGAGGCTGTTATGCAAAATCGAAGAATCCACTGGAAAATAACCTCAATCTAGAAGCAGCCATTCTAATCATCGTCTACGTATGCAACTGCCATCACATCGCAGTTGATTTATGGGAATCCCCCAGTGAGGGGCTTTTGAGACAAGCGAGAAACGGGTGGTTTGCCATTGCCTTCCTCTGCAGAGCCTTCCTTGGTGGGCCCCTCTCTAAGAACTGACCCTGTTTAGCTTCTGAGATCTGATGCGATCGAGCTATATGACACCACCTTCTCTCCTTTCTAACTTCCTTTCAGAAGAGAATAACCAATGGGTCTTAGAGACAGAGCTTTTGCATGGCATGATGCTGTGAGGGGCGTCTCTGCAGGTACTTGCATCCCAAACCATGAATGTAACAACCAGGCCTGTGAACTGAATTCAGAAACGAACCAGCAATTTGTGCAGAGATCTAAAAATAGAAGTAAGACACGCCAGGCAGCCGGCCACAGCTAGTAAACAGTCAGAAACCGTTTACGCCAGTTGAAGTTTCCAATTTGCCTTCAAGGGCAGCCCCATGCAGGGCACATTACAGTAGTCTAGCCTCAAGATTATTCTCCCGCAAATCCCATTTGCTGGGTCCAAGTTGGGGGCAAGCTGCTGAGCATGATGTAACTGATAGAAGGCTATTTTTGTTACCCTCCTCAACCGGATGGGGGGAAGAATCCTCTCTGTGGTTCCAAAAAGCAGACAGCTCTTGAGGGGGGGGGGAAAGGAATCATTTTCGTCTGTTAAATAATGAAAGATTCATTAACTGCTTATCTGTCTCGCTTTCAACCGGGAGGAAACGAGGGAATTGCTACCGCCTGGGGCATACGTCAGGATGAAGGCAACTTTATCTTGAAAGAGAATTACAGCAGTCCTAGCCTAAAATCTGTTTGGCAGAGATTCTTTCGTCTCAATATCCACCGTGTCTCTGAGGTGCATTCCAAAACCCTTTGCAGATTCTGGATCTAACTTTTCTGCTGCATTTAGGTGAATCCAAGAGGCCCTGGGCATTCCAGGGAGGGTGTATGCTGTGCTGCACATGCATGCATTCATGGATCCCTCTGTCATGGGTGGAAGTCAACTGCTTAGTTGTGGTAGTTTCCCTCCCAGTTTCTGCTGCATTGTGGCAGCCGTCAGTGTGCAACAGACAGGTTTGGTGAGAAATAAGCACAGAGATAGAAATAGAAGAGGAGGAGGAGGAGGATGATATCAGATTTATACCCCACCCTTCACCCAGAGTGGCTTACAATCACCTTCCCCTCCCCTCCCCACAACAGACACCCTGTGAGGTAGGCGGGGCTGAGAGAGCTCTGAGAGTACTGCTCTTGAGAGCAGCTGTGCCAGAGCTTGTGACTGACCCAAGGTCACATCAGCAGGTGCTAGTGGAGGAGTGGGGAATGAAACCCGGTTCTCCCAGATTAGAGTCCAAAGCTCAACTACTACACCAAAGAGGCATCCGCCTTTGTTTTCTGTTCAGTTGGGCAAATCCACTGATCTCTCCCTGTAGAGTGGGGCAGGCCCCTCTCTCCAGTGGCAAAAAGTGCAGTGGTTATAATGTAGGATCTAGGAGATCCAGGTTTGAATCCCCACTCTGCCACAGAAGCTCGCTGGGAGAACTTGGGCAAGTCCCGCACTCTGAGAAGAAGAAGGAGAGAAGAAATTGGATTAATACCCCACCCTTCACTACTCAAAGGAGTCTCAGAGCGGCTTACAAACTCATTTCCCTTCCCCTCCCCACAACAGACTCCCTGTGAGGTAGGTGGGGCTGAGAGAGCTCTTTCAAGGACAGCTCTGACAGAACTATGGCTTGCCCAAGGTCATCCAGCAGCTGCAAGTGGAGGAGTGGGAAATCAAACCCAGTTCTCTTAGATCAGAGTCTGCACACTTAACCACTACAAACTGAGCCTAGCCTCCCTCACAGGGTTGTTGTGAGGATAAGAAGGGGAAGGAGAGAATGAAGTAGGCTGCTTGTTTCAGAATGCGAGTTCGGCTTTACGAATTTTCAGATTTTGTATGTATCGGGATTTGAGTCCGGAGGAGTACTTTAAATATATCCTTAATTCTTGTGGAAGTACTGTCGATCTGGATCTCATTTATTTATCATGTAGTTTTCCAGTCATTTTTGTCATTTATACCCCGCCAGTTGAGAGAAAGGTGTGTGGGAGGGGAAATGATGCGAATAAACAAGAAATAAATGATATCCAAGACTGAGGTATGTCAGCAAGACTTAAGGATGTATTAAAAACACCCCTCAAAAATCAAATCTCAAGTATATGCAAAGTCTGAAAATTCAGAAAGCCGAACGCAAATTCCGAAATGTGTCCAAATTTTCGCTTGGTGTAAACATTTGCCTTTGGGCTCCCTGACCAAGAGTTAAGGATGTATTAAAAACACCCCTCAAAAATCAAATCTCAAATACATACAAAGTCTGAAAATTCAGAAAGCTGAACTCCAATTCCAAAATGTGTCCAAATTTTCACTTGGTGAATATGTTTGCATTGGGCTCCCCGATCCATCTTTTCCTTCCACCAGGCGACCGAGTCAACCCCCCCTCCCCCGAGATCTAGTGCTTGCTAAATACCAGGGACTTTTGGTCGAAGCTCAAGGGGTCAAGAGATGCGTTGCTCCCTCTCCTGGAATCCGCAAAGGGGTGAACAGAGTCCATGTGCGGGGAGCATTTTGGGGTGGGCATGGGCGTGGCGGCGGTGCGCATGATGATCGGAGGGGGCATACTCCCTTTGCCTTCCAGGTGGCCATTGGGTGTGACTGCCAGGGAGTACATCTTCATCTCTGGAAAAGAAAAGAACGTGTCAGTCAATGGAATGCCAAGAATGTAAAAATCCCCCCCCCCGGAAATTTATTAGCAGAGAGCGAACTGTCTCTATTTCAGTTGCATATTCTTTAGAGACCACGTCCATAGTATTTATACGTACATAATCTGTGTCTACAGGTGAAGCGCAAACAACACTGAAAAGGCATACATTTTATAGGAGAAATCGAGTGCAAGGAAGCAGTCAGTGGTACAAGATTATTTTTGTATTTTTATACATGTGTGTGTGGAGGAGGAGGAGGAGGAGATTGGATTTATACCCCCGCCCTTCACTCGGAGTCTCAGAGCGGCTTACAAACTCCTTTCCCTTCCCCTCCCCACAAGAGACACTCTGTGAGGTGGGTGGGGCTGAGAGAACTCTTGACAGAAACTGCTCTTTTTCAAGGACAGCTGTGCCAGAGCTTGTGACTAACCCACTGTCACGTCAGCAGGTGCAAGTGGAGGAGTGGGGAATCAAACCCGGTTCTTCCAGATTAGAGTCCGCACACTTAACCACTACTCCAAACTGGCTCTCTCTCTGTGTGTATGTGTGCACCAGGAAGTCATGGTGACCTCTGGTGATTGACCCCTAGTGGGGGCCTGGAGGATATTCAGGGAAGTGCCTGAATAAAGCCTGCCCCTGTTCTCCTGCCTCTGGTATTCCTAGGAGGTCTCCCATCCAAGTACTTGCTAGAGGAGGAGATTGGATTTATACCCCACTCTTCACTACCCAAAGGAGTCTCAGAGCGGCTTACTAACTCCTTTCCCTTCCCCTCCCCACAACAGGCACCCTGTGAGGTAGGTGGGGCTGAGAGAGCTCTTGACAGAAACTGCTCTTTTTCAAGGACAGCTCTTATCAGAACTACGGCTTGCCCAAGGTCATCCAGCAGGTGCAAGTGGAGGAGTGGGGAATCAAACCCGTCTCTCCCAGATTAGAGTCCGCGCACTTCACCACGACACCAAAGTCGACCCTGCTTAGCTTCCAAGATCTGATGAGATCGGGCTTGACTGTGACTGTGGTACAAGATTGGAGACTCCCAGGTTCGATTCACAGAAGAGGGGAGAAGAATTACGGGGGGGGGGGGGGTTTTGGGTTGAGTACAAAAGAGGAGGGAGAAAAATTTGGGGGGGGGGGGGCTTTTGGATCAAAAGAGCAGGGATGGGAAATTCAATATCCTCCCTGTTAGGAGGTTTGACAGTTCCCAGTTGCAAAGTCTGGTGAGCATCCATTAATGAAAAGCCACCATCTCCGCAAGATTTATTGAAAGAGAAAGCATTTTAAGAAGAGAACAGTTTCCTCTCCCTCGGACAGGTGTCTTTCCCCCCACTAGGTGAAAAAAATGGCTGATTCTTGTGGCCATACCACTGATAGTTTGTCTAAGCCATGAGTCCCCAAAATGGTGCCCTGGTAACTGCAAACCCGTTTTCGGGCACCCGCTAACTGTTTTTGGAAAGTTGGTGGGACCGGGTGGCATTCTCCCCACCAGGACGTCTAACAGGCCCCTGGAAATCTGATTGGTTGCACCCAGGGCTCTTTTTGTAGAAAAAGCCCAGCAGGAACTCATTAGCATAATAGGCCACACCCAACACCAGAAACCCATTAGAATATTAGGCCACACCCCTGCCAGCACAGCTCATTAGCACATTAGGCCGCACCCCCATATTACCAGAAGTGTGGTTATCCAGCCACACCCACCTTTTGCTTCTTATTCTGTTTACCTTGTTTGTTGTCAAAACCCAGGGCCTTTTTTGTAGCAGGGACTCCTTTGCATGTTAGGCCACACACCCCTAATGTAGCCAATCCTAATGCGTTTCTGCTGTTGGGTGTGGCCTATTATGCTAATGAGTTCCTGCTGGGCGTGGCCAACTCGGGAGCCAGCCGGAACTCCGTTCCTGTGCGTTCCTGCCCCAAAATAGCCCTGGTTGCGCGAATTAAAATCACATCCCCCCCAGCAGGAGCTGCCAATTCAGTTTTGGTTTTACAATCTCACACTCTCCTTTCCCACTGTATTTTTTTTAATTACTTCTGTTGTACCCTGCTGCGTGGGCTTCTTGTGTGTGGCTCCACAGCAGCCATTTTGCACTTGGCTCCGCCTCCCCGGGTGGCCATTTTGTACCTGTGCCCACCGCCCTGTTTTGGAATCCTAAGGGTGTCCACGGGCTCAAAAAAGGTCAGGAAACCCCGATCTAAGCTAATGATCCCCCCCCCCCGCCGCCTTGAAATGAAGAAATGCTGTATCTTAGAGTAGAGAGTAGAGCAGAGATTGGATTTATACCCCGCCCTTCACTCGGAGTCTCAGAGCGGCTTACAAACTCCTTTCCCTCCCCCTCCCCACAACAGACACCCTGTGAGGTTGGTGGGGCTGAGAGAGCTCTGACAGAAACCGCTCGTGAGAGAACAGCTGCGGCAGAACTACGGCTTCCCCAAGGCCATCCAGCGAGGAGAGGGGAATCAAACCCGGTTCTCCCAGATTAGAGTCCGCCGCTCTTAACCACTGCACCAAACTGGCTCTTGTGGCATTACCTGCAGCCAGGGCTACCGGTCCTCCACTAGGGGCAGGGAATCTCCGCTCCACCTACTGTCTCCCTGCCAATCAACTGGCCAGTGGGAGGGGACTTACCCGCAGTGGGGGAAGCCCATTGTAGTGACAGCGGTGGCAACGTGGCAACGTCATTTCCAGCGTATTCAGGCAAAAACATTTCCATCATATTAGGGCAAAGCCGATAAGAAGCGTCCACCACAGAGTTTTTGCCCAAATCCCAGAGTGTCCTGCATCACTAGTGATATGGTGGCATCACTTCCGGTGTGCACCAGAAATGACTTAGCCACGTGGGCCTTCCCTGACTGCCAGTAAGTCCCCCCCCCCCCCGGGAGAGACCGGCCAACCCTCCCCGCTGCGACCCCCCTCTCCAGGGGAATGGAGGCCCCGTCCTACCTGAAGCTCGTAGCTCCTTCAGCTTCTCAAAATCCTCTTCGAAATTGATCGACGTTTTGTCCTCGTCTGTGTCAGACCGGTTGGCGTCACCCTACCGAGGGGGGGGGGGAGAGAGAAAGGATGAATGACTTTGCTATGCATTCTTGACAGCGACCAAGGTTATTAAAACTGTTCGTGGTGGGTGGGAGAACCCTCTGGGAAGCAGAGGCTGTTTTGACATACTGTATTCCTCAAGGTGACCTCTTGGTCTCACCTCCACGCCACATAAATTTCTGCAGCTTGCCAATTTTTAAATCTGGTCTCTTTACCTTAGTGGATTAGGACATGAGCACAGCTGAGGAACAAACAGTTCCGAACAGTCCCCCGGGTGGTTCTCAACAGTCTCCCAGGAAGATAGTTGGCTCTGTTCGCTCCTGGCCAATGCTCCCTCTCAGCTGTGGAGTCTGGTGAGCAAAAATTCTGTGTTGTGAGCGAGCAACTGGGCTACCGCATAAATGAATTTGTTCTGGAGCCATCCTTCCTGAGCTGAGACAAAAATGTGTGAGCCGGAGGCTATATAAAAGAAAATTGTTTTAAGATGATATGTATATGACTCCCCCAAAAAATTGCTAATATGAATAATAATATGTCTAATAAGTGTTGGAAATGTAAAAAACATGAAGGCTCTTTGTATCATATGTGGTGGACCTGTGATAGGGCAGCGGCACTTTGGATGGAGGTCCATGCTGAAATGCAAAATTTTTTTGAAAGGTACATTTAAAAAAGAACCAGAAATCTTGTTGTTGGGTCTTAAGATGGAGGAGGTTAATGTGGAAAAAAAGACACTGCTATGGTATTTGATAACAACTGCAAGAATGACATTTGCGCAATGTTGGAAACAAGATAAGGTACCAGAGATATGGGATTGGATAAAAAAAATGCTCTTTATGGCTGAAATGGACAAACTGACGAAACTTAACGGCAAGGAAGACGAAGAATTTTATGAAGAATTTAAAGACTTTAAAGAATATGTAGAAGTGAAATGGAATGTTAAAAGTACTTTGATAAGTTTTGATAGTTATTAGAATGGACCAAGAAAATGATAAGGTATTGAAATGATGAATCTAAGTAAAGTTACCTGAAAGATTAATTTGTAATATGGTAAAATATAGAATTAAAGATTAAGATGAAAATTTAAGGGGGATAACGCACTGTGGGAAGCCATGTAACGGGGGGGTGGGGAGATATTTGAAAATGGATATAAAAAGATTGAAATGTTGTGAAAAATTTAACCTGATTTTTATATCTGTACAATAAAATGTGTTTTTTAAAAAAGTGTGAGCCGGAGGCTAAAAAAACTGTGAGCTAGCTCACGCTGACTCAGCTTAGGCGGAACACCGCTCATGGGGTTTTCGGGGCAAGGGATGAACAGAAGTCGCTTGCCGTCGCCTGCCTCTGCGTAGCAACCCTGGACTTCCTTGGTGGTCTCGCATCCGAGTACTAACCAGGGCCGACCCTGCTTGGCTTCCGAAATCTGATGAGATTGGGCTACCCTGGGCCATCTGGGCCAGGGGCGTGGCCAGAACATTTTGGTGGGTGGGGCGTGGGGAAATCTGGAGGGACACCCTGGCCACACCTGCTGCTCCTCTTGCAGAAGAAGAGGGGGAGATTGGATTGGTACCCCGCCCTTCACTCAGCGTCTCAGAGCGGCTTACAATCTCCTTTCCCTTCCCCTCCCCACAACAGACACCTGGTGAGGTAGGTGGGGCTGAGAGAGCTCTGAGAGAAACTGCTCTTTTTCAAGGACAGCTCTTATCAGAACTACGACTTGCCCAAGGTCATCCAGCAGCTGAAGTGGAGGAGTGGGGATTCAAACCCGTTTTCCCCAGATTAGAGTCCGTGCACTTAACCACGACACCAAAGCAGTTCTGGGTCCACTGTGGCCTCTTGTCTTCCTCTAGTCCTCCTGATTGGAGAGACGCGATTCTGGGCTGTTTTTCCTGTATAAGCCCGGGGGGGGGGGGATCTCTTTATTGTGCGTTTTGTACTTGTATTTTATTTTATGCTATTTTATTGCCTTCTTTAAAACCTTTTTTTTTAAAGCCAGTTTGGTGTAGTGGTTAAGTGTGCGGACTCGAATCTGGGAGAACTGGGTTTGATTCCCCCACTCTTCCACTCGCACCTGCTGATGTGACCTTGGGCAAGCCTGTAGCTCTGATAAGAGCTGTTCTTGAAAAAGAGCCGTTTCTGTCAAGAGTTCTCTCAGCCCCACCTACCTCCCAGGGTGTCTGTTGTGGGGAGGGGGAGGGAAAGGAGTTTGTAAGCCGCTCTGAGACACCTTTGGGTAGTGAAGGGTGGGGTGTAAATCCAATCTCTTCTTCTTCTTCTTCTTCTTCTATTTATTTTTCTGACTGGAAAAAAGAAAAACTGAAAATGAAGCTTCCCTGACGGTGCCTGGGGTCATTTTGGAACACCCACACACCTCTCACATTTCTTTTTAAAATGGGTTTTTTTCCTTCCAGATTTTTTAAAAAAATGTCTGAGGGGGCAGCACTCATACGTGGGGGGCATTGCCCCCAAATCCCCCCCGGTGGCTGTGAGCCTGGGTAGGGAAGATGAATAGAGATGGTTTGCCACGGCCTGCCTCTGTGTAGCAACCCTGGACTTCCCATCCTGGGTCTCCCATCCAAATACTAACCGGGGCCGACCCTGCTTAGCTTCTGAGATCTGACGAGATTGGGCCACCCTGGGCCGTCCAGGTCAAGACTGCTATTCCTAGCTTTTACATTTGTGAAAATTTAGCCAACCGTTCTCCCTAACGGCCACCCAACATGGAATCCCCCGTTCTCTGCTTCTCCACTTCTCCAACAACCCTGACAACAAACCTTCTGAGGGCCCCTGGGTTTTGGCCACTGTGTGACACAGAGTGTGGGACTGGATGGGCCACTGGCCTGATCCAACATGGCTTCTCTTGTGTCTGGGGCAGGGCAGCTCTGTCTTCTTGGTGCTTGGGGAGGCAACAGTGGGAGAGATTCTGAGGTTCTGGTCCCACTACCAAACCTCCTGAGGGCACCTGGGTTTTGACCACTGTGTGACACAGAGTGTGGGACTGGATGGGCCACTGGCCTGATCCAACATGGCTTCTCTTGTGTCTAGGGCAGGGATGCTCTGTCTTCTTGGTGCTTGGGGGGCAACAGTGGGAGGGCTTCTGGAGTTCTGGCCCCACTGGTGGGCCTCCTGAGGGCACCTGGGTTTTGGCCACTGTGTGACACAGAGTGTTGGGCTGGATGGGCCACTGGCTTGATCCGACATGGCTTCTCTTGTGTCTAGGGCAGGGATGCTCTGTCTTCTTGGTGCTTGGGGGGCAACAGTGGGAGGGCTTCTGTAGGTCTGGCCCCACTGTGGTGGACCTCCTGAGGTCACCTGGGATTTGGCCACTGTGTGACTGACAGAGCGTTGGACCGGATGGGCCACTGGCCAACCCAACATGGCTTCTCTCGTGTTCCCGAATCCTAACTTTTACCGGCTACACCCTCGCGTCACGTAATTTGTCCTGCTTATGGTGTCTGGATTTGGGGGCGTGGGGATTCACCGAACGTGTGCACAGCTCTGCCCCAAGACACGGCTGGAGCTGTCACCCTTAAGGTGTGTTTGCAGCAGGATGAAGCCAAGAGGGGAACAGGGACAGCCACAGATTCCTTTCCCATGATTGCCGGGCACATCTTTTGTGGCGCCCAATGAATAATGCAGCCGTTTTCTTTTCTTGAAGAAAAGCTTTTCCGTATGTTTCAATCACAGGCTGAAACGGCTCCAAGAGGAGCCATTAAGTGCCGCCAACAAAACACAACCCCAGTCCCCCCCCCCCAAGTCTATAATTACATATTTATGGAGAACGTCGCCTGCGACTGCCAGTTTCCAGCTTTCTATACGCACGCCATTCACGCAGACGGGAAATTGGAGAATCTGGAAGCTGGGCCTCTTCGTTACAGCTTACGCAATAAGTTATGCCGATGAATGAGATTAATGCATTATGTCTCCTGATTTTATTTGGCTGTTTCCATGAATGGGAAAAAAAGGACTCAGATTCCGGGCTGGTGTGTATTCAACAGCAAAAGAAGGCAAAGTCACCACTACTTGGCAGCAATGCTCTCTCTAAGCTGTGGAATCTTGTGGGCAAAAGTTCTACTTTGCAAGCTACTGGCATGAAAGTGGTGAGTGAGCGATTGGGCTGCTGCAAAAATTAGTTTGCTGTGGAGCAGGGCTATTTTTGGGCAGGAACGCACAGGAACGGAGTTCCGGCTGGCTCCCAAGTTGGCCACACCCAGCAGGAACTCATTAGCATAACAGGCCACACCCAACAGCAGAAACTCATTAGGATTGGCTACATTAGGGGTGTGTGGCCTAACATGCAAAGGAGTTCCTGCTACAAAAAAGATCCTGGGTTTTGACAACAAACAAGGTAAACAGAATAAGAAGCAAAAGGTGGGTGTGGCTGGATAACCACACTTCTGGTAATATGGGGGTGCGGCCTAATGTGCTAATGAGCTGTGCTGTCAGTGGTGTGGCCTAATATGCTAATAGGTTCCTGCTGTTGGGTGTGGCCTATTATGCTAATGAGTTCCTGCTGGGCTTTTTCTACAAAAAGAGCCCTGCGACCCCCATCCTTCCTGAGTTGAGACAAAAATGTGTGAGCCGGAGGCTAAAAATGTGTGAGCTAGCTCACACTAACTCAGCTTAGAGGGAACACTGCTTGGCAGAGGAGGCGCCTTGTTTGATATTAAAGGTATATCTGCACTTCAGGGTTCGAACGGGTCTCGTCGCTTCATTCCCCGACAACTCTTGGGACTGCAGAAAAGAGCAAGAGTCCAGCAGCACCTTAAAGACTAACAAAATTTGTGGCCGGGGAGGAGCTTCTTGGGAGTCACTGCTCGCTTCTTTGGATACAGTTAGCATGTGAATCTGACTGTCCTTGTATTTTGGAGAGTGAAGCTGTCATGATCTGGGCTGCGCCACCAGAGGCCTACTAGGCCCAGGAAGCCTGGCTAGCAGTAGGTGAGGCTGGGCCTACTGCTCCCAGAAGCCCCTGCGAGGTTTTGGAGCCAAAATTGACCA